TTGTGTTTTTTGTATTTTGTTATTGGTTACTTAAGCAGCTTGTTTACAAAACTTGAATTGTATTTAAAATGTTTGCATTGATTGTATTGTTGCCTTTGTAGACTATGATCTCTGTTTGTATTCCACACATTCACTGAGAGAAATCATTTCAAAACTTCTTGAAACTTCTTCTACAAAATAGTTACAATCCAAGAATATTTGCATTTGATGCAAATTTATTACTTGTCAGTTCTTGGCTTAGAAACTTAAATTTTGTGGTTCAAACTTATTTAGTTTTATTCAAAATTGATATAAGCATTGATTTAAGAATACATGTACTTAAAATGAGACCTAAATAATGTATTTCAAGGAATCTAGTTCTTTAGTTAAGTTAGGATTATTTCTATATGGTCTAAGAAATCATTTTTTTTTTTGTATCTAAAAACAATAATACTTAATTCATTCCGAAAAAGTATTACGTATATGAAATTGAAGCGTTTTGAAATCGTTTTCAATAGATTTGAGGACAAACTTCGCATTTTTTTCAGAGTGTATTCAGCACAGCCGAAAAACAGCAACCTGAAATGAACATAACAAGAAAAATCAAAAAGATAAAGAGAAAAAATTTGGAATCTAAACAGTAGCACGAAGTGAATAAAACCTTTGGAATTTCTCAGTCGTTTTTCCAACACAACAATTTTCACTAACGATATGCTTATTGTTTGGGTTGAGTATATACTCACATACATACATATGTACGTATGTATGTATGTATGTATGTATGTGTATATGACAAATCACCTATTGGCGCTTACCTCATCGTAGAACAAACAAATGTCTTAATCTAAAATCTTTTATTTTTGTTAATTCGTTTTTTTTTTCTATAAATTGCCTATGTAAATAATAATGTAATTTAATTTCTATTGATTTGATTCGTCGGTCAATTAGGACAAGTAATTAACATTTTTCCTTAATGTTCAAATGGATTCTTTATTCTAAGTTCGGTTTTTCATTCATTCATTTCAAATTCGATATTATAATTTGCCTTTGTGAAGATCTACTCCCTTTTGGTCCATTCTGTGCGCCTTTTAAAGGTCCTCGTTTAGTACCAATTGGCAGCCAAAAGGTGTGCTTAATCGCCTTACGATTGCCAATAAGAAGAAAGAAACAAACTGAACTCAATCAACCCAAAAAAAAAGTAGAGAAAGAAGAGAAGCAGACGAAGCAATGCCTCAATACAGTGAGCACTTATTTACGGTGAGCAGTCGGCCTATAATCGGCGATTTGACAATTTGTTTACATGTCCTAAAACCCCACTAAAATAAAACACAACTCGACCCAAAAAACGCATCCATTCACCCTCTTTTTACCCGATAACACTTGCCTCAGCCATTACATTGTATGTGTGTGTTTTGGCATAAGTCGATCGGTTGCTTTGGTCTTTATGGCTTTAGTTTCTATTTTGGTGGCAAGCAACCGCCTCTCACACCCCCCTCTGGGTAGCAGACTGTTGCTTAGTTGCATGCGAAGGCATTTGCTTTAATTATTTCAAATGGACATAAACAAAAGCGGGCAACTGACCGGGCTGAGTGTGTTTGCTTTAGACACGAATGATAATTTTCACCAGACGGTAAGACGTAATGGGCTACGTGATACACTCAGAAAAACGAACATTCGCAGAGACAAGCGAGAACTTTTCTTTTCAAAATTCAGCGTTATCACTTATAAAATAGAATCAACCTTTTTTTTATCTAATCAAAGTTTGTTAACCATCAACTCAGAAAGAAAGAGTTAATAAATAAGACAAGTTTTCGAAAATGTTCAAAGTTTTTAGATATTTAATAGAAGGTTTGTGGTGAAAAACAATTTCAGACTTATGCGGGATTTGAGATAAGCGTTGTAGCGTTTCCATAATAATATCTGTTTTTCAACATTTGTTGCTTAACTCTTGAACTTCTAGGGCTTATTTTTGTCTAAGTGTAGCATGTTGCAAGTGGGCCCGTTCAAGACTGCTGCGAGACGATGCGGATTATGGCTGCTGCCAGTGCATATTTATGCGGTTAAAGCTGGTGAAAGTTTGAGGTCAACAATTTTGATCAAGGCCAAGGCAATTTTGTACGTTCGAAGATGATGGTTTTTGCCCCAATGCGAATTCACGTTATTTAGATGTCATCAATCACAGCATCGCCAGTGCCGCAAACATTTCAATTTGCTGGCAAATGTGTTGACAAACGGCAGCAGCAACAACACTGAAATGGGAACTGGATATTTGTATATACAATCTGGGACGGAGGACCACGTCTGCTACTAGTACTGCTTCTTCTTCTTCTTCTTCCTCTTCTTCTTCTTCATCTTCTTGTGCGTATTGACCCCCTCGGAACACATACATTAGCAACACGTGTCAAGCGCCTCCTTCGCCCACATCGTGCTCTTTCCTCTGCGGTCGCACTTAATTACACTTTTATGGAGTCAGCCTCGTGCTGGTCTCCTTCTTCAACTGATTTTCTTTTGCTGTTTGTTGACAACAACAATCGCGACTGCCAGCTGCAATTGTAGTTGCAACACGCCGACTTTAATTTTCATTGCTGCCACTGAGAGTTATGAGCTGTTGACATTTACCCAGACTCTCATTGTTCGCATCTCTGCCACACATCCTTTGCAGCCTTTTTAATGCAGTTCCTATTGCTGTTCCTCTTGTTGCCAGTTAAACTTGTGCTTGGCTATTGTGCATAATCACACAGCGACTCTTGCAAATGAATCCTGTTGTTTTGGCTACTTGTCATTTTTTTTCATGGGTTTACCCTAATTAACAAGACATGTTTTTTTTTTTTACTTGCTTATAAATTATATATTTATACTTTGCTTTCATTTATCATGTTTTTTATGGCATATTTTAAATATGCTTTTTTATTTTGTTTATTATGGAAAGTATTTAAACAAACCCCAGTGAAATTCTTGTAGTATTTATAATTAAAATACTTACTTGTTGAGACCCTGCTTTTCACTACAGAACATTCATTTCGTATTTATTCTTTTGTTAAGAAATATGTGTGCTAAATATTAAATTTTTTTTCCTTTAACTGGTGCCCATATTAAAATACATTGAAATGCCAAATTTGATTAATCATCTCTCAAAAATCTGCATATACAGGGTATATAAAGTTCATGGTCCTCATGAAGCCACGTTGCATCCTCTGTAAATAGTTTAATCTTTTGTTGATTTTAGTTGTGTTTTTTACAATTAACTTTTCGTTTGTTTACCTGTAGGAAGCTGTTGTTTTGTTTTCCATAACAAAATGCCTTAACACTTTTGAAAAGTTGAAAATGTAGTTCTTTTTATATTTGTATGTATGTTGATACATATGTATGTTGATGTGCAGGTGTATTTATATTCAGGGTTTCACAGTTACTCGTTGATGACATTGTGTGTTAATATATATGTTGTCATATTATCTTTAATTTTACTTGATTAATTTTTGCTTGTTCATGCAATTTGAATTTTTCGTCGTTATTGCTGATGTTGCTGTTACCTGTTATTGCCTTTTGTCTGATTTACATTTATTTGTTTACATTTCGTTGTTATATTTTTTCATATTTTGTTTTTTTCATTTTTATAACCGAACGAATGGAATTCTCATTTGCTTGAGCAGCTGTCGACGCGGCTATCAAAAAGTCAACCACATTGATGGCTTATCGATGATGCGGAAACTGGCACACCTCCCCCACTCCCCTACACACACATCCATCTACCAGTTCTCTCTCTCGCTCTGTACCTCTATCGCTCAAGGACCCCGTATAGAATTTTACGGGCCATTGAGCCATATCCCAAATGTACTGTACATAATTTTTATTACAAACAATTTAATTGCATATTTTGCACATTCGCATATTCGATGCGAAATGCGAAATTTGCTGTTTACCCCCAATCCCAATCTCAAATCCTCCATCTGGCGATTGCATCGTAAAAAGTGCACTGCATTAAATGCAATCGTTAAAAATGATAAATGATTAATCGCCAAAGTGCTGCGAACCAATATGGGAATTGCGGCTCAATTCATTCAATAACATCGTTGAATATCACTATTTAACATGCCAAAACCTTCTCTCAGATATAGTTTGCTGATCCAGCGACTTTATTATTTCAATTTAGTAAATTAAAAATATATATGATATTCCAGGCTATACGCTTCCCCTTTCAAATCAGCCGACAAATGCTGTCAGCCATCCACTTGTTTTGGCCTACTTGAGAACAAGATTTATTGGAGCCAAAAAAAAAAAAAAAAAAAAAATACAAATAAAAAAAAAATTGAAAGAAGGAAAATGTTTTGCGCTGTGGTGTTTTCAATTTGTAATCAAATCGAGGGCGTTCACAGCTCATAGAGCTGCCGATCTATATATCTACATATGGGAGCAGCATTTTCCAATTTGCCAAATCAATAGAATTCATAATTTACTACTCACGTTATAATTATTTGGCCTTCAGTCAGACAGCTTTTTCATTCCAAATATTCTGCGCGTTGTGTATTTAAAATACCAATTTAATTAATAAATATGAATTGTTTCCCATTGACCTTTCCATAAAAACCAAACTTTGTTTGCTTGTTTAATTTTCATTAAAAAAAACTGAAATAAAATAAATATTAGCTTATTCTAAAATATTTTATAAAAGTTACGAAGGATTCCTAATAGAAATACTTACAAGGAAAGCCTTTTTGAAGCTATAATTTGAATATGAATTCGAGCTGGAATCGCCTTTCAGACTTTAAATGTAGTATTTCAATTGCTGTTTAAATATTAGAAAGTATTAATAATATGAATATATGAATGTATAAAAATGTGAAGAAAAAATAGCACCACTTCTAAGATACTAAAATACCATGGACAACATTGCTTATGCGAGTGGAGCTATTATTTTATTCGCAGCTGCAGAAGTACATATTTATTTATATTTAATATGATTGTATTTATATTATGATATGATTGTATTTATTTAAGATATGTATTTGTTTTTTTTTGTACAGCATTTGTCAACCTGTGCACTCTTTCCATCCTCCTCTCGGTGACGACATTGACCTTGGCGGGCGTTACGAGTGGTGTCGCGCAGATAAGGTTCGGTGTTGCACAAGGCAATGGAATTTTGGCGCTTAGAAACAGCGTGGTCGCGCAACACGGAGATAAAGAGTCACCTCACAAGTTGGGACTGCTGAAAGTTGAGGTGAATGGGATGGATGCAATTGACTCCGCAATACTGCTGCCCGACGAGAAGGATGCTTGCCCGCCTGGATATTTTCACTGCAACACTACCGCACAGTGTGTGCCGCAGCGTGCGAACTGCGATGGGAGCGTCGACTGCGATGATGGGTCGGACGAGTGGAACTGCGTGAATGAGGCGGATGCCAAGTACTGGGATCACTTGTTTCGTAAAAACTCGTTCGGACGTCAGGGCATGGATGACAAACATATTGGCGATTGTTGTGAGTATTCTCCCCCGTCCCCCGTCCCCCGTCCCCCTCACCATTCAGCCCCATATGATTGGCGTAGCAACAAGGTCGAAGTAATTAAGCGTTCCATTATGAGTGTCGACCATGTAGTAAGTGGCGCCAACTAGTGAAGGATAGCTCCGTTCGAGTTATGTCCTTCCGCTCCACAGCTCGCTCTCATGTTATGTCTTATTATATTCATAGAATTATCATACGTTTCACTAAATGGAATCCCTGATGGGGATATCAAGTGTTATGATAGCAAATACTTATTAACGTGAACCCGTTTTGTTTTGCTTCAATTTTTATTATTCTTTTTTTTGTTTCGTAGCCTGGACGAATACGAACTTCAGTTGTCCTTGTCGCGGCGATGAGATTTTGTGTCGTTTTCAGAAACTGACGTCGCTGCCAACTCATCTGCCCACCAACAGTCTGACAACGCTGTAAGTACTGAACAAATATCAAGGTCAGCTTTCGAATGATTCCTGTTAAAATTACATTGCTTTTATCCCTTGTTTACTAAAATATTACCAAGTGTGTTTTGAAAAAAAAAATTCGAATAATATTTGCCGTTTTACATGAATCTTGACAGGAACATAAGAAATCGGATCTGTCAATATTCAATATTAAACAAAAATTGAAAAAATTCTAAAGAAACTAATTGATTTTTCAGTAATGAAAGTAAATGCTTGGACTTAACTTGAAAGCTTAACTATACCTTTTATAACAATTGTTAAATGGTTATTTAATTGTTCAAATCAACCAATTTCTTTTATTTTGTGAAGCTCTTTTGATTGGAATAGCTATAAGGCTTCCAATATTTTTTCAGTATGCTAAATTATTGTCATAGATTGATCAATTGATTAATTGTCTGAATACTTTTTGTAAGACTTTATTTGACTTATGCTATGGTTGTATTTGTTTTTAGTGACCTTACTGGCAACCATTTTGACGTCATCAACGAAACCTTCTTCAGCGCCCTGCCCGATGTGGAGAGCTTGTGAGTAAAGAGACCCTCAAATCCCACACAAATGTTGGTAAAAATAGAAATTCAAGCATTCGCTTAGCTGTTGAAATTTCAAAGATACAGCCCTCGATATTACCGTCCTGCTGTGTCGATTAAGCAGCCAAACGTTGTCGCACATACAAATTACACACAGACTTGACTAGAGTTATGGCCATGGGGTATCTAGAGGTACATGGGAGAAGGACGAGGGGGGGCGGTGCTGCTGGTATGGGCAGATAGAGTTCGTATCGTGTTTTGCAGGCGGTTGCAGTTTATGTGCCACTATGTTAAAGGACCCCGACGACGACGAACAGACTAAAGCCCTTAAACCGCTTCAACATACTGTGACAAAATGGGAGACGCTTTATTAACACTGTGAGAACCGAAAATGTTGCCACAAAACAGAATATGATAAGCTGTATTTGAAATTTGATGCCTTAGCCTATTTGTGCGAAAAGCCGTCAGCCAGACTTTAAGCAAGAGTATTCAGTTTTATTTTAATGAAGCAATTCAAATTGTTGTGGTCAAATGTAATAGAGAATAAGACCACAGGATATTCCAACACGCAAGAAAATAAACTTAGTAAGCATTAAGCCTGAGCATTTTGTAAGAGAAAAACAGAGGGAGGGACAGAGACAGTGACAGAGACAGAGACAGAGACAGAGACAGTGACAGAGACAGAGAAAGAGAGAAAGGAGAAGAGGCAATGTTAAGGTTGTAATCAGTGTGTTGAAGACATTAGACAGGAGAAAAAGAGAAAAGAAAACAGCAATCAAACAATCAGAGCCCATCGAATCAGCACACAAAATCAGCATAGATATATATTACGTATATGTAGTTCATTAAGTCATTAAGTCGAGCTAATCCGTTTTTAGTTTCTCTCAGCGTAAGTGCAGCTAATTCATAGCTACGAGTATGTGCCCAGAATTAGTATGCAATGGTTTGTCTGTGTGTTCGTTGGAGAACATATTGCCCATTGGCCACATTACTTATGCCTAAGCACTTGGAAATCCACCAGTGGGGAACATCGTCGCCACATATGGAACTTGACTTCCTATCTCCCAGTTAGAAACTCCTTTGTCAACTGCTGCCAACTGTTCTGAATATGGAGCAACGTCCTAATGATATAGGAATCACCAAGGAATCCAGAGGCTGCACGGGGCCCGCATGGGGTGGGGGGCATCTGAGACATCTGTTGTGCGTAGGCAACGAACATCTGTGGAAATTAATTTGACCGCAGGTCGTCAGCTGAGCCAAAAACGAAGAATATATGTGGGAGTTAGCTGACCAAATGAGATCTCAATCCGAAAATGCCCTGAAGTCAGTTTTTGAATTTTTGTAATAATTCCTTTAAATGTTTTCCAACTTCTATACAACGTTTCTGTGCCAAAAAGCAGTACGGAATCTTTATAATTGTGATGAGTTTGGCTAAGACTTTATTGAGTCGACATTCTGTAAAGAAAAACATAAATTTAAGAAAAAGTTAAAACTTTCACATTCAGTAAACAAACAAAACAAACAAAATGAAAGTTTCCTGTTTCGAGAACTGAATAAGTACACATATCTGAATTTCGATGAGTTTTCATTCCTTTTGCTTTCACGCCTCGGCTAAAGGCCTTGGAGTAAAGATAACTTCTGATTCTTAACTTGGCAGTTTATTTTTGTTGTTGCGTTTTACAATTTTTCGCAGCCGCATTTTCTTCGTGCGGAAAAAAACTTAACAATTGAATTGAAGTTTTATTCAGTTTAATTCAATGCTTCTGTTTGCATACAATAAGTCTATCTGTAACTGTAACTGAGCGCGTATCTGTATCTTATCCCCACACATTCAGGGTGCTGAAGTTTTGCTCAATCCGTGAGATACTTCCGCATGCATTCGATAGACTGGCCGCCATTCCACTAAAGACACTGTAAGTATTGCGCTCCTCTCAGGGAGGAGGAGGAGATGGGCTGGAGCCTATATTGTATGGTTGGGGGCATAACTCATAATTAACTTTTGTTATTTATGTGCACTTAATTTATTTGTTGCTGCTGTGGATGCTACTGGAAATGGACCGTGTCCTGAATTGTTTTCGCCTTCCATTTTTCTTCTCTTTCGATTTTTCAGTTATATGGATGATAATAAATTATCGCGTTTACCAGAGCATTTCTTTGCCCCAGGCAATCAATTGAGAATTTTGTAAGTATTATTACTGATTATTATATAATTAAGTGAGCTCAGCAGCTCCGCATAAAAGAAACCGTTAACTGTGCATATACAACAGATATAGGGATTTACGCCTGTAGACAAATTTAATGCTTCACTAAGGACATATTACTTAAATCACACACATAATTACGTATATATATATCTAAAGGAAAGGTTTTAAATAAAAGGTTAACATTTCATTTAATGGGAATCTTGTCGTGAAGCAAAGTCGGTCTAGTTTAATCAACCAAGCTGCATTGACTGGAACACATAAGCAAATATGACTTTGGATCAACTCAGTTTAAATTCCTGATCAAAATCAGGTTTCTATGTGGTACACACTCTCCAATTAAATTATAAACCTTGCTCGAAATCCAAATTATATTACAACTGTTGCCTATCAACAGGCGCTGGGGAAATTAAGCATACGTCCCATGGACGTCGTTGTCAGTTGTTGTTAAGGGCGTTAATGTGCTGTTATTTATGTGTAACAAATTTATTTGCCAGCAAAAATAATGACAGAAGGCATTAAAAGATTATAGTTTGGGACTCCGGAAAGAGCTGTTCATAAATAATAAACAATGTATTAAAATTACAATAAATTGAATTGACTGCGATAGCAATTAAAATCGACAGTTAAAGTAACCAATTCAAATTGAAATTCACAACAAATGCAATAGTTAAATTTATTTATTTTTTTAACTTATGCAAATCGAAAATCGGTCGAGTTTTTCGAAAAGGATGGCGTTGGTAACGGCTTATTGACTTAAATTTAGTATATATAATAACAGTTTAGAGAAGAAATCAACATTTTATTTTACAACTAATAATTAGTTTGATATGTCATTTTTTTATGCATTTTGGGAATTTTAAATTTCGCATGTATCTTCAATATCAAAATACATATGGGAATCGCTTGCAAATTAAGCATATTAAACGATAATGCTGTCAACTACTCTATATATAAATATATATATATATATATATATATAGAATATGTATATAGTGCTTGCCATTCCGCTCTGCTGCAAATCATTGCATTACATTACATTTTGTGTAGTGCCTTTTGTGCACAACTGTACTTTTGCAAATTGGGTTTGATAAAAAACAATGAAAAAAAAAGAAGAAAAACAAAGAGAGAAAATAAACTGGGCTGTCAAATTTTGGGCATGAAATTATTATGATGTCGAGCCCGAAGGGGGATTCAAACGCAAAAAAATGCTGTAATTGCCAATAACCATAGATAGAAATGCACACACGCCCATGCATTAAACGAGGAGATTGCATATAAAAGCCGAGACAGTTATGTGCACTAGCAATTGTTGATGGTATCATCATGTGTGTCTGTGTGTGTGTGTCTGTGTGTGTGAATCTGCGCACGTGGGAGTAAATTTATATATCCCAGCTGATAGTCAGTGTGTTTGTGTTTGTATTTGTGTCTGCAGCTATTGTTGCGTATACGCATCGTATGCCAGTTTGGGGCCATAAAGTGGCCCATTGTTGTGGCCTCTGTGCTTTTGTGCTTGACTCGCTCGACTCTAAGTTTATTTATTTTGTTCTTTTTTTTTTTTGTTTTTGGTGCTCAATCGACTCGGTGTGTTGAGGTGGTGTATAATAAAAATATTAGCACTCGCAGCCAAAACTAAAAGTTTGTGTGCAGCCGCACTGAAAGCAGAACGAAGGGAATACTGCTTGTTGTTATTGTTCGTCATCTTCTTCGGAAGCCAAAAAGACAACACAGTAGACGGCGACAACAGAAACTAAAACATAAAATAGAAAACAAAACAAAAACACATAAACAACTCAGTTACACTTTGCGCCAAAAGCGGGAAAGGTTAGTTACGACCAGTTAGCCAGTTAGCCAGTTATCCAGTTGAGGCATACCGATAGTAATTAGAGTTGAGCACAATAGTGAAAATTAACCCCGTAACGCACAAACTGGCCAATCATCAAGTAAAACGTATTTCTCGTATGTGTATTAGTAAATTGTATGATAATCACTATAAATAGATGCTAATGTATTCTAGCCGAAAACCTAATGATTATCTGTCTGGAAATGAATTTGAATAAAGAGGAAAGAAAGCATGGGCATCATCAATAAAAAGGAAGACTAAACAAATCAACAGACAAATGAAATGTGGTAAAAATGGGCGAGCTAAGAACTGATTGTTGTTCAAGTACCAATTCAGCGAAAACGAACAATGATCGCTGGTGCAGGCCATTTGTAGAGTTACTACTTCAAGACGATTCCAGCTTTATTTATATCAGACTTTGCTATGCTCAAGCTTAATTTCCAGTAAGAAATTCAAATTTAGAAAAGGGCATAATGCTCATCTGCTCATCTCTAGTTTTGTGAGTAAATCAGGAGAAGTGGCCGGAGGCACAGCTGCTGGTAGCATTGGCGTTGGTTGGTTGGTTTTCAACTTTTCAGCAGCTGGCGCTTTGACATTTAGCTGGACTGCCAAATTTGGTGCAAGAGGGTGGCAGAGGGGGAGTGGGAAATGCAGGCGGGTGTTTTGCATGCAGGCATGCAGATGACACTTAATGGGTTTATTAAAATGCTATGATTATCCAGTTGTTCTCTGCCTGTCTAGTCTTGTATATTGTTTACTTTGGTACATTAAAATCACATTAGAACTAATGCGACAAGTTAAACATTTTTTTTTGTTCATATAACCTGCAGAATTTTGGCACGCAATCATCTGAGCAGCCTTAGCACTGACGATTTTCGTTATCTGCAGCGATTGGAGGAGCTGTAAGTACTTGAGGAAACATCTAATACATTAAGCAATATGTCCTAGAATTTGTTCTCCGACTGCCAGATATTTCTCAAATCTATTTTTTTATATATAAAAGCACATCGAACGTGTTCAATCTAAAAGAATCGGACTCATTCTTGGTTTAAGTTTACTGTACTCACTTAATCCTGTTAATCCTTCCAGCGATCTGCGCGGTAATCTCATTGGGCATTTTGAGGCACCGGTTTTTGCTCAACTTCAGAACTTGGAGGTGCTGTAAGTGGTCCAAACTATTTGCCCCTAGTCGTATTATGTATCTTATTAGTCAATCTACAACCACTTTAGCTACTTAAATGAGAATCGCTTGAGCCAGCTGCATCCAGGCATGTTTCCCAGCAGTTTGCTCCATCTGCACACGTTGTCCTTGGCGCAAAACCAAATCGCCAGCATTGCGGCGAAAACATTCACATTTCCTCGACTGCGACACTTGTAAGTATTCAGCAGGAGGTGGGTGAAGGGGTGGCAATTCGAAACTACCTCCATTTGAACTGAGGGGCAACAGCTGCCTTAAAGTCCTGCATAGTTCTGCACAATGTACAAATTTTTGTCTACATTTCCGCTTACAGATTTCTGGCCGGCAATCAATTGTCTTACATACGCGACGGAACCTTCTGTAACCTTAGCCATCTGCAAGGATTGTAAGTTGTAACCAAAATACAAAATAGCCGCAAAGAGATTTAAAACAAGAGACACAACACACGTGTATGACTATGCAAATACCCCTTAGATTATGCCGAAAAGGGACTTCCATACGCCATAATTACATAATTAATCACAAAAGTAATTACACTTTTTTGCAAACTCATTTAAGTGTATAATTAGATAACAAAGAAAAAGGTCTCACTACACGGGTAACTAAGTCTGAAAAATGTGCATGCCCTTCTATTTTATTTGATTTTATTTGATTTGATTTTATTTTATTTTTGTTGGAAATTCGATGGAAATATGTTGTGGGGAGAGCGTGACAAAAGGCGAAGCGTTTGATAGGCATGTATAAAAATCTGTCGCGGCTTAGCTGTCCTGGGAGTTTTTCAATTTGCTTAGGCTTAGCCTGACGCACAAAACAGGACTAAAGGACCAGCACACGGACAATGGCAGCCATGCCATGGGATGTCTGTGTTGTGGTTTGGCAACATCAGCGCTCTTTTGTGTTTGTGAAACTTTCGTTTTGCGGAATTTCATTTCTCGATAATGACGACCGAAAAGGACAAACCCAAACGCTCTCGCTGGAATGTGAGCGCAAAAAAAAAAAAAAATGAAATGAATAGATAAGAAGAAATATTAGCTAATAAAAAAAAAGAAGAAGATAAATTGGATAGTTTTGTTTGCATAGGCCACAAAACACAAAACTAAAGTAATCATTGGCCAGTTGGTATCTAATGCATATTGAGCAGCTCCGATTTGATTTGCATGCTGTGGCATGCATAAAATGGCTGTGGCACATTACGTGCTACAACTTTAATGATAAAACTTGAACGCCAAACGGACAACTACCATTTTTAACACACACACACACACATACATTACAAATAATAAACATTTTTCTTATTCGCAGACATTTGAATGAGAACCAAATCGAGAAATTCGATTTGCATGCCTTTGACTGCTTGGAGAATCTGAGCTCCTTGCTGCTGACGGGTAATCGCTTTAAGACCCTCGATCCGGCTGTGCTGCAAAATCTGAGCAGTCTTCACTTTATGTAAGTATCAGCCGACAAATCTCTGAAAGGACTCTGTTCGTAATTGCCAACCTTCGCGTTTTTGTTTTCTCACAAAATACCCTGTACACATCAAAATGAAAGTGTTATGAAATTGTCATCAATTCGTGATTAGTATCAAAAGTCGACCCCGCACGTCGTCTATGCTATATATGCTATATATATGCTATATTCGAATTTGAAAACAGCAGTATAAGCTTAAAGGCAGGAATATAAATTTGATGGAGTTGGTTGTGGCATAAATAAGACTAAATCAAGTCGTGCTATTCTCAACTCTGTTCTTATTTCAAGTTTGATTTTCTCTGTGCACTGTTAGTGCTGTGTACAGGGTATATTTTTAGTCGAGCACTCTTGACAAAAGCACTTTTACTTGTTGGTTTCATCACTCTCTCAATGTGTATCTCTCTGCTTGTCTGCAGCTACTTCTCGTGGTTCCATTTGTGCCGCGCCGCGTTGCATGTGCGTGTTTGTGATCCCCGTGGCGATGGAATCAGCAGCACTTATCACCTGCTCGACAATCAGCTACTGCGCGGCAGGTAAGTACAACTCCACGTTAACGTTAACCCTCATTGCCACCTGTGTGTCTCAGAAGGGGCTTTCCTTATTTCTCGTAATCCGCTGCTGCAACCAACTCAGGCAACATACAGCGTGCAAAGATGCCTTCGTTGAAGTTAACCTCGACGTTTATGTTTTCTGCTTACTTTTATGCTTACTTCTTATGTTAATGCATATTGTTTTGTAAGCTCAGCCAGGGCCTCTTAGCTGTGCATAACGGTTATGTGGGCAACCAGGAATCGCTGTCGAAAACATTTATTGCCCATGGTCATGTAACTTTCATCATTTAGTATTTTTCAATAAGAAACGCTAAATCGAAAATAATTATTTGTATTAAGCCCTTTCCCTTTCCAAATCCATTGAATCTAGGAAAAGATAATAACATTTTCAGTTTCCTTTTGTTTTCTATTCAAATAGACTTTCTAGCTTAAAATTATTTCCCAATAAGAGATTTTCACAATTTCGAAAGTTCTGGGAACGATTAGATTATATTTAGCACGTTAGTTGAGAAATTGAATCAATTGAAATGCACATTGTTAGAAAAAAGGAATGAAACGCAGCTGAATTATTTATTGACTTAATCTTTTCAATTTTATCTGAGAATGTTTTATTCGGCTTTTATATTCTGGCGATCTATTTTATGAGTGCATCAGTTGTAGAGGGCACGACGAAGACGCTCCCGCAGCACAAGCATTCGCATCTGATGCTGATGATCCGTACTGCCCAAAGGGGCTGACGATGGTGGCCCGAAGACTAGACCATTACGGCCGGAGCATGGCACACCACCACCACGATTACGTGCAGCGACCAGGTCCAAGTCAACGGCAGCGGAGCTGATGTCGGCATTGGACTCCAGAACTTGACGCTGATATTCAAAATGCATACTGACCACTTTTAACGTGTCTGGTCTGCTTCTTTTTTTTAGTTTTTTTTTAGTTTTGTCTATTTTGGATGCAATTTAAAATTTCGATAATTTTTCGATGTTGAGTGCTAGACAGTGTGTACAAATAATTTATGTGACTGAAACTGAAACTGTTTGACACATTAATAAGCAAAGCTACTGCGTTTCCAAATTTAGATTCGTTATTTATGACAATAATTAATATTTAGATAATATATCTTAATGCTTACTTCAGAAAGATAAATACTGAGTGAGTCTTTGAAAGTTGCTTAACTTTTCAAAACATTTTTCACTACAGTGCTAAATGGAATTGTTGCCAAATTTAGAAAACTGAAAAAATAAAACAAATTAATTTTTCAATTTTTGAGAAATTAATTTCTTAGTAAAAGAAAATATTTTGATAAAGTTCAAATGTAAAACATTTTTTGTTTACAAAAAATTGTTTGTGAAATTCCGAAAATAGTAATGAAATTTACTCTGTCGTCTGCTATGTTAGAGTTTACCTGCTGTCTGCTTTAGATAGATCACCTATCAATTTAATTTTAGTTTAATGTGCAAGGGTATGAAAAGATTATTGCTTACACCCCATGTGTTGGTGTTGCATTGCATTGTGTAGGTTGTTGCACGCAGCGAGAGCCAAAACTTGGCAAACGCCTTTTCCACTTGGCAATTTCATTTACTGGGTAAACCGACTGTGGCAGCCAGTCAGAAATTCAGCCAGCCAGCACTTGTCATCCGCTAACTTGGCTGAGTGATTATCTGGTTGTCTCTGTCCGCCACTGTGAGTCTTGTGTAACTAATGTGCCAGAAGTGTTTCATCCCCCGAATGCACCCTTCTCTTTTCTCTGGCATCTGCATGAGCAAATGAAAATTACATTTTTGCTTCAGTTTCCTTTCGTCGATTGTTTGTTTGCTTACAATTTACACGCTCAGCGTGCTGCCTGAGTTTTGAATTTTGTTTTCATTTCACTTTTCATTTACCACTCCTTTTTTCACTCTGTGAAAGTGCCTAATGGGAGTCTGAGTGTGTCTTTCAGGATACTCAATCGTCCAGCTTTTATACACTGAGAGAAAATAGAACTATGTACATGCACAACCGATTTGTAATTTGGAACATATTACGCACTTCAATTTATTAAAGTTTTTCTCAAGTTCCTAAATTATTCCGAATTCACTTTAGACAAAAAATCAAAATTTCGGTATTTGGTCCAACAATGTTTGTATTTGTTTTGAAAAACAAAACTCAATATATTTTTCTGAGTGTTGAAGTGTCTAAGCAAATATGAACACTGTACTTTAGAAGACTGTGTGTGTGTGTGTGTGTGTGTGTGTGCACACATACGTTAAGTAACATGGCTGAAAATACCGACACGTTGTGGTTCCGTGGAATGCCTGCTGCTATATTTTATTATTTTTACTTGAAGCCTTCATAAAAATTAAATACTTTTCTACATTTCTTTATTTGTTTTCAGCCTCCTCTTCAGTCATCTTGTGTTTGATCTACCGAATTTAATGCGATATTTAAGCTAGACTACGAATACACACAATTCTTCAGTTTTCTTATGTAAATTATATATGTCATAAGGAATCAACATCTTCACGTTAGACTTGTCAAACTTGATAGTAAACGTGGCTCTCAACTTCTAATCAGAAGCTATTAAAAAACTTGAACAATTTGTTAGAGTCGAATTCGTTTTACCAGCTCAAAATGAAAACTGAAAGTAAGCTGCGTTGGGTAGATGAGATACTGCTTACTTATTATTGAGGTACTTACAACAAAATAGAAAGTAGTCATAGAAATGATAACTCATGCATATGCTTAAAGTTTTTTATTTGTTGTAATCTAATCAATCTGAATTGACATAGTTTGCTTCCGCATCTCATTTCTTTGCTTTGTCATTAGTGTTATATTATATTATATTTGATATTTACCCATTCACATAAGCATGTAGTAAGTAGTAGCAAATACTAGTGAAGCAAATTAATGAATAGTGGCAAGCTTGAAGCTGAAGTAAATTATACTTATTTTTGGAACTGGATGAGCAGCCGTTTTCCCCCTTTCCCTCCACCCCTTAGATGGGCACAGGCTATCATCATCATAAGAAGAGTGGCAGCGTTCGCAATTGTTCCACCAGCTTGTGCCAGGACACTGAGGATGCGTCGTGTCTTGGCAACTGAATCATAATTCCAACGACAATACTACAGTAATGAGCACCCAGACAATTGACATTTGTGACAATCAAGCACACACACACACACACATACGCAAACCCGGAACAAGAACAAAGGCTATTGCACCTAATTGGCCAATAGCATCGAGTAGCATTGAATAGTTAGCAAATGGGCTTTTGGTTTGTGCGAGGACCTCCCTAACATTTAGCTTTAATTGCCCAAATTTATGTCTTTTGATATTCGATGTGCATAGCTTAGCAACACCTCTTTATCCTTCTAGATGACCAATCATTGATAAAAAAACAAAAGATAATAAAAAAGAAGAAAAAATAATGCAGTATGGATTGAATTCTGAATAAAATGGCATTGCTATTGAAAATCGGTTCAGTTTGTAGAATTGCAGCAATATTTACCAAAGTAACCTTATTCTATGAAAGCTAAGATTTGGTACTCTAATTCTTATTGCAGTGTTTGGGTGATGGCCTCAATTGCAGTGGTTGGCAATTTACTTGTGTTGGCTGGTCGCTATTTTTACAAGTCACGCAGCAATGTGGAGCATTCACTTTATTTGCGCCACCTGGCGGCCAGTGACTTCCTGATGGGCATCTACCTGACGCTCATCGCCTGCGCCGACATCAGTTTTCGCGGCGAGTATATTCAGCACGAGGAAACCTGGCGACACAGCGAACTCTGCGCCTTCGCTGGTCTGTTAACTGATGTCTGATGTTACAGACCCAATTTAATCGGACTCATTTCAGGTTTTCTGAGCACCTTCAGCTGCGAGTCTTCAACACTGCTGCTCACATTGGTTACATGGGATCGGCTGATGTCCGTTACGCGGCCCCTCAAGCCACGCGATACGGAAAAAATTCGGTAAATTTAAGTATTAATGTATATTCTTCAAATTCAGCTTTTGCAGCTTTTTAGTTAAAACTTGCACCGTATCCTTTCAATTGTTTACATCTGATTTGTGTGAATCTAACCACTATATCAGATCAGGTGATGATGAGCTTAAGATGAAATATGCATTTCAAATTTCAGCATTGTATTGCGCCTGCTGTTGGTGTGGGGCATCAGCTTTGGACTCGCTGCAGCCCCTCTGCTGCCCAACGATTACTTTGGAGAGCACTTCTATGGCAACAACGGAGTCTGCCTCTCGTTGCACATACACGATCCCTATGCCAAGGTCAGCAGCGGATTGGCTCCAACGAACATAGAGAGAGAAAGATTGCTTAATTTTGTGGTTTATTTCACAGGGCTGGGAGTACTCGGCGCTACTGTTCATCTGCATCAACACAATCTCGTTGGTCTTCATACTGTTCTCGTATGTGCGCATGTTGCAGGCGATACGCGACTCTGGCGGCGGCATGAGGAGCACGCATAGCGGACGCGAGAATGTAGTTGCCACACGGTGAGTCTGTCGTTGGTTGTTGGTACTAGATGATCGAAGGCGACTAGGCGAAGCAGTTTGCTTTCCGTAAGAAAGTTGAATTGTGGAACTGCAGGCTTGCCAAGAACTTGTGAGAAATATCTCCAAAGGCGTAATCATGATTTATGCTTACTTATTTACAGGTTTGCCATCATTGTGACGACAGATTGCGCCTGCTGGCTACCCATTATAGTGGTCAAAATAGCCGCACTTTCAGGTACCTATCTAACTCTTTTTCTCTATCTCGCTCTCTCTCTGTATATTAGGGCTCATGCTGTGCTGTTTCAGGTTGTGTCATCTCACCGAACTTATATGCCTGGCTGGCGGTGATGGTACTGCCGGTTAACTCGGCTTTGAATCCGGTGCTCTACACGCTGACGACGGCCGCCTTTAAGCAGCAGCTGCGTCGCTATTGCCACACGCTTCCCACCTGCTCGCTGGGCAACAATGAGACGCGATCCCAGACGCAAACGGGTTATGAGTCCGGGTTGAGTGTGAGCTTGGCGCATTTGGGCAACGCTGGCATTGGTGGATCGGGACGCAAGCGTATGTCGCACAGGCACATGAGCTACCTTTAGGCTGGGGTTAGGTGGTTGGTGTGTCCGAAGGGGGGCGGGGAGGGTGGGATGGGTTCTAATCAGTTGATTGTACATGTGATCTATAGTTAAAATTTTTATTATACCTACATATGTAATTCTAAAAAATATACATTCGGTATATGTTAAATATACATGTATTTGGAGTTTTTCACGCAGTTTACAACTGCAATTACATTTTACAATTTCTGTTATTTTGTTTCGAAAAAAAAAATTGACTTGTGTTGAAACGTTAAGTCAAAAATGTATATCAATTCATTGTTTGTCGATTTTTGGTGTGCCAGCAAAATGATAAGTTCTATTACCCAGAAAAGCCACAATTGAAAAAATCGCAGCACGAAATTGATGTGAATTAAGTATTGTAGTGGTGGCTACAGATATGTTTCACTTGCAATGTTTTAAGTGTGTTAAGTGTTCATTGAGCGGTCGATAGAAAGATATCCAAATGCGAATCTTAAAATTTAAATGAAATGAATCAAGAATTGATATGGGTTAATTACAGTTTGTATTTGGCTTGCAGCATAATCGCAATCGATGACTCCAAATACAAAAGTTATTACATATTCCAAAGATCTGTTATGTGAGTGTTTTCAGTTATGTATTCCCTATGGCCAGGCCAAATGTAAATCTACTGCGGCTCGGTGGCAATGTTGACCTTACTCTGGACATGATAGGGTCCCTCATTGACATAGGTGGTAAAACGAACAGTTTCAACGGCAGTGAATTCGCTGCTTACGGACAGCTGCTGCATAATCTCCCACTTCAGATACTTCACATCCTTGTGCAGATCAGCGTGTCGGGAAAGCAGAAACTCAATGGCACCAGCGGTGTGCTGCACAGCCTGAATGCCCCACACGTATCCGCACAGCGTTTTAAGTAGACTCAAAGCGGCTAGTTGTAGATCCGGGAAGGGTGTTTTTAGCATCTCCATAATATTTTCTACTTGCTGGCCACCAGCGAAGCTCTCGTACCACATTTTCAAAATGGAGCTGCAAGAAAGGAGTTAATAACAAATAAGAGATAAGATCTTATTGAGTTGCGCACCTGATCTCAGCGCTGGCTGGCGACTCCTGGGCATATATCACATCCAGGGAGTTAAGCAGTCGAATCTTTAAGGCCGCCGATAGGTTCTTAATGAAGTCAGAATATTTTGACATAATTTTCTTCATAGTTGGCATGTGATGGAGCTGTAGCAGCGTCTTTCCATGCACACTGCTGGCCAGATTGGCCAGCGCGTCCATGGCGGTGGGAAGGCAATCCACATCTTCGGATAGTATCAGATCGAAGAGGGAGGCCACCATACGCGGATAGCCGGTGATGATCTTCTGCGGCTGCACTGCGGCAACTTTGCTAAAGAATTTCATAATGCTTGGTATGAGCAGCGTGTCCATTGGATTCTCGTCGATGCGCTCCACGCGACTGCTGATGATATCGAAGATGCGCATTCGCTCCATATAGTTGAGACAGTGATTTTGCTCGGCAAGTGGCACTAGGATCTCCATGACGCTCGCCTGCAGCAGGACATCGTCGTTGTCCAGCTCACTCAGCGCCGCATTCAGTATGAACTCAACATTGTCCAAGGCGGCCGAGTTGCGCTTGGCTAGCACCACGCCCAACTCGTAGGCGCGACAGCGTATGACCTCGTTCTCTGTACACATCTTCATCAGTTTTAAATGCACGGACAAATCCGCAGGCCACTGGCCCAACATAATTTCCAGAATTTGTATGGCAGTCGTGCTACACTGCGACTCCGGTTGCAGCAGTTCGTCTAGCACATGGAGGATCAACCCGTTATTGGGCAGTGTGAGGACATTAGCACCGCTCGTCTGCCGGCTCAGCGCCTTCAGCAGAAGGCTGAGGACGAGGGCGCGCAGTGCGGGATTGGAGTGCTGCAGTGCTTGACTCAACAGATTCGGCAGCTGAGCATCACTTGTATCCAGCTGCAGTTGCTCGAGGCAAGTGCGTATCAAATCGATGGATATATTCACCATCGGCTCCTTCGCTGCATCCCCGACGGCGGCGCATTCGTAGAGTGCCGGCGAGCGCAGCAGCGATTCAATTGCACCGCGCGACATACTCGATTGTTTGTTGATATGCGTGTATAAGGTCGTCAGTGTCTCCATGCGGTCTCCCCGCGCACTTAGCTTATCCACATTTGCCTGCCACGATTCCTCCTCCATTTTTGGGAGCTTTGGGTTTGCACAGCAAGCAAACTTCAACAAAATTGAATTAAAATTGAAATAATAAGAGCCAAGCAGCTGTGTGTGTTTATCGATAAGTGGCAGACCGAAAGCTGCTTGTCACTGTCCAGTGATGGGCTGCGAAAACATTGACCAAATATATATGGATGCTTAGTAATATCGATATATCGATATTTTCTTGTCCACCACCAATCACAAAATGTAAATAAAATTAATACCATACGGTTAGTGCCAAAACTTAAGATGTAATACGTAAACTGATAGAAAATAAAAGAAGAAAGAACGGGGTTATCTTGAAAACGCCGAAAATTATATACCCCTGTAGACCGGAGTTCATCTCTGACATTTAAATTGTCATCGATATTTTCTTGAAATATTAATCGATGTTTATACGATGCTAGTGTGGCCGTTTCTTGCCTATTGTTGTCGGTGCTGCTTTCTACTTATCGATGTCGACTTTGTTTTATATTGCAACCCTAATTACGACGCCATTTTACAAAGACAAAAAAAATTTTTGTGACGAAGCGTTGTTGTAATTAAACCGAAGAAAAGTGGTGTAATTTAGGAGAACTAACAACTAAACAGAAGTGAAGATGTCGCAACGCTTTGCGCCTGGCCAAGCGCCGGTGCAGTCGCGCTACCAGCCACCGCCACAAGCGCCTGGCATGCGTCCCTATCCCGGGCCCGGAACCGGCGCCAGTTTCCCGGTAAGCCAAGACTCAAAATCGATTAATTGCATTTTCTGGACTGACAAGTCGAAAGTGTTTGCAGCCACGCGGTTTTCCGCTGCACCCGAACACAACGCAGCCTGTGCCTGGGAGTGTGGTGGGCGCTGCTCCCGTCGGTGTTGGGGTCGGTCCCGGACCCTCGCTCCTCCAACGGAGCACCCAGCCCAGTTTTCAGACCGGACTGCGCGGCAGCGGTTCCGCTGGCGTTGGCGGCGGTGGTGGCGGCAGCAAACGTTCTGCGGAATCGCGCAACATGAACAGCGGCCCCAACAAGGGTGAGTTTGCCGGTGGTGGTGGCGCCAAAAAGAAGAAGAAACTGGCCGACAAAATCCTGCCGCAAAAGGTGCGAGACCTGGTTCCCGAATCGCAAGCGTATATGGATCTACTGACATTCGAGCGCAAATTGGATGCGACCATAATGCGCAAACGCCTGGACATACAGGAGGCGCTCAAGCGACCGATGAAACAGAAGCGCAAGCTGCGCATCTTTATCTCGAATACATTCTATCCGAGCAAGGAGCCGAGCAATGATGGCGATGAGGGCGCTGTCGCATCCTGGGAGCTGCGTGTCGAGGGACGACTGCTCGAAGACGGTAAAGGGGATCCGAATACGAAGATCAAGCGGAAGTTCTCATCGTTCTTCAAATCGCTGGTCATTGAGCTCGACAAGGAGCTGTATGGGCCGGATAATCATCTGGTTGAATGGCATCGCACACACACCACCCAGGAGACGGATGGATTTCAGGTGAAGAGGCCGGGTGATCGCAACGTACGCTGCACCATCCTCCTGCTGCTTGACTATCAGCCGCTGCAATTTAAGCTGGATCCACGACTGGCCCGATTGCTGGGCGTGCACACCCAGACGCGGCCCGTCATCATCTCGGCCCTGTGGCAGTATATTAAGACGCATAAACTGCAGGACGCCCATGAGCGCGAGTATATCAATTGTGACAAGTATCTGGAGCAGATATTTAGCTGCCAGCGCATGAAATTCGCCGAGATACCGCAACGTTTGAATCCGCTCCTACATCCACCCGATCCAATTGTCATCAATCATTTCATTGAGAGCGGGGCGGAGAATAAACAGACCGCCTGCTACGACATCGATGTCGAAGTGGATGACACGCTCAAGAACCAAATGAACAACTTTCTGATGAGCACTGCCAGCCAGCAGGAAATCCAGGGCCTCGACACGAAGATCCATGAGACCGTCGATACCATCAATCAAATGAAAACAAATCGCGAATTCTTTCTCAGCTTTGCCAAGGATCCGCAAATGTTCATCCATCGCTGGATCATCAGCCAGACGAGGGATCTCAAGGTGAGTGTGCATCATTACCATCAAGTAGAGTTTTCTTGGTGACCAGATAAATGCAGTTACGTCCTATGCAGAATGATAAGAATTAAGAGATCAGAAAAGAGAGTCAGGCAGATATACATGCGACTTGGCTAAACATAACTGGTCAATCATCTAATAATACTGTAATCTGCTGGAAAATTCTCCAATTGTCGCCCAATTTTCCGACTAATTTTCTCTTTGTTTGCAGCTAATGACCGATGTGGTTGGTAATCCGGAGGAGGAGCGTCGCGCCGAGTTCTACTATCAGCCGTGGACGCATGAGGCCGTATCGCGCTACTTCTTCACCAAGGTCAATCAGAAGCGGGCCGAATTGGAGCAGGCGCTGGGCATACGCAACGGCTAAGCCTGTTAGGTTCTTGTAGCTGTGTGTGCTTCAAATTGTGCACACTGCGAAACTCTTTTTTCCTTCGACAGTTTAATTTAAGCTCTAAATGCTACTATATATGTATACTATATATAATTATGTGTCACTATTTTTTTGCCAACAACAAAAACTGGCTTCAGCTGCAACAATTAAAAACATCCATATAAAATAGACTCAAAACTACACACTTTAATCTGTCAGTTGAAGCTGCGCCAGAAGCTGGACTAGATTACAGCCATCCTTTGTCGTACAATCAATTATCCGAAAGTGATTGATTAGTAATCATGCTATATTCTGGGATTGAATAGGCAACAGAATTTTAGTAACTTTCCGAGTTAGCCTAATGAACGAAACTGAATCCCACGTCCGTATTTGAGATATTGAAGTAAGCATATTATTTTTTTTGGCAGTATATATCTGTCAGATTATTGAAATTCGACTACAAAATATGACGGTTATATTTGATATTTGAATCCATTTATAAAATATTCCCTAGGTCGCTGTTTAAGTAAAACTTGTTCATCGATAGCAATCCACATGTAGAGTATACAATAATAATTTAAAATGAACAACAATCAACATAAGTACATAAATACAGTTATAGAACAATAGTTATTTGTAGTGATTAAAGGACACGTTTTATGTGGAACTAAAGTGTAAAATAGACATTGAATTTGACAATATTTGTATTTGTGGGATTATATGAATTTCGATTATAGAATTTAATTGATCGTGTCGCATTGCTTTGTTTGTTAGCCTATTCTAAAATCTTAAATCGTAAAATTGTTTTTGTTTTTGTAAAGATAAAACAGTTTTCGTGTGGAGAGCGCTATTTAGTTACGGGTGGAATTGTTATTATTGACAGCCTATGGTTGCGACTAATTGCTAATTGCTAAAGAAATCGACGGAATGTGCAACTACTCCTAGCTAAGCCATGTGATGATCCTACTAATCTAGTCTCGCTTCTTGCTGCGAGTAGCAGCTGCTGTTGCTGTTGATGCGCCGCCAGCCACTGCTTGCGAAGGCGTCTCACTGATCGCTGCGCCCGTATCGAGGCGCGTCTTATCAACAGGATATAACCAGCGCTGATACAAATAGATGAGGAAGACAATATCGTCACGCAAACAGGCAACCCGATGAGCCGTCGGCATGGTGATGATGAATGCAAAGAAGTCATCGATGAACGTATTGAATGCCTTGTACATAAAGGCGCGCCACGGCAACGCAGCAACCGACTTGAGTTTATAGTTCACAAATAGTTGAGGCAGCATGAAGAGGAAGCCAAAGGCATAGACGCCATTCACCAGCGAGTTTAGTGTCCACGAGTACCAGGAACGATGCGGCTGATAGAGCAGAGAATAGATTGCACCACCAAGACAAAGCGGATACAGCAGATAGCTCAGATAACGCATCCCCTCCCGATCAAACTGCTGTGTCTGCTGCTCGGCCAGTTGGCCTTTGGTTTTGGCATTGGCATTCGGATTGGTATTGGTATTGGTGTTGCCATTGCCATTACGCTGATCCACTTCCTCTAGTTTGCGATTGATCAACGAGCTAAAGCTCAAATCTAGTCGAAGTATTTTCTTGCACTTCCAAAGCTCGATGAGGGTGCCGAGGCCAACGGGCACCAGCACCAGATACGATGTCTCCTCATCCAACAGATACAGAAAGATGACAAACTGCGAGAAGGCGCGCCAGACTGTTGTTCGTGTCGAGAGTCCCTCGTACGATTGCTTCTTGCGCCAAAAGGATACGTCATTCTTGAAGCTCAAGAAGTCGAAGAGCATCTGCAATCGAATCGAATTAATAATACAATCAACTGATCTTAACTCAACTGAAACGATTATTTCGAGAGAGAGTGGGACAAGGGATACTCATCCCTGGCTAACTACTCACATGGACGCTGGATATGAAGATGGTGCCACAGAGCAGGTATACATTTGTATCGGAGAATATGCCTTTGACCTCATCGATGTCCTTGGTGGCGAAGCCAATCGTGAGCAGTGCCTGAGTCGCATGTTCCATGAGCAGCATCAGTCGCAGTTTTCCCACGCCAACCGGTTTGTAGTGGAAGCTGAAGGTGAATTCGGTTAGATTACTCCTCACGGCCACCAGATCTTTGAGTCGCGTATTAAAGCTGTCTGTCTGGAGTATGGGCAGTATTTGTTGCATGCGATTCACGCGTATCAATTGCGCCATCTCGGGCGGCACATCCGCTTGCGACAGCGAGAACAGATCGGTCAACAGTGTCACATACACATTGGAGCGTATATGTGTAATGGGTTTGGAGGCAGATGTAGTAGTTGTAGAAGACGCTGCTGCTGCCTTTTTGGATTTTTTCGTCAGTGGCGCCGACTGCTTCTCGGTGTCGCCAAGGAGATTGAATGCCTCCGCCCGTGGCACCATATAATCACAGAGGTTGAGCGTATGCAGCACCGTTGGCCCATCGCGACGAAGTGTGCGCCACTCGAGGGGTTCCCCCTCCAGCGCGAGCACTACATGCAAATAGAGGGAGCCATTGCGGCGCGTCTTTAACGGTACATCCAGCTGAAAGTCGTGATCGAACTGACGCCAATAATCGAAGCGTTTCTCCTTGTAAATATCGTGCACCTCGGACGCGATGGGATTGCGATTGATCGAGCTGAACAGTGCCAATTGCATGCGTGGACGATCCGCCAGGAAGGATGTGTAGCAGGGGGAGTCACTGCACTGGAGTGTCGTGAAGAGCTGCGACATTTGATAGATGGAATGCAGGATGTAGGCTAAAAATGCCACGCCCACCAGCGTTGAGATCGACGGCATTGCCATGATGGTGACGGATGGCAATGATGGATTTACCGAACGCCTGAAAAAGTAACTAAGGATTGTATGAGTGGCGTTGGCAGCTAAATGATTTGCAATGCAAGCAACTACGAAAATGTATAATTAATGCACATCGTTGTGCGCTAAATGCCGGCGTATCTCAGTTTTTGTGTGTTGGCAGTGGGGCGAGCAGTGCTGTAAAATGCCGCGCCTCGACCACACATCGATAACAGCTTCATAACAGTGCAGCGTTGAGAGAATTTAATTAAATTAACATTAGATAAGGTAAGTACATTTAATTAACAAATTTTCAAATTATTTTTAACTGTGAGACGATTTAATGATGCATTCGCAATGCGAACCAGAAGTATTTTGATTTTTGTTTGAGTTTGCAGTGCGATAACAGCGCTACTCTTAACAGAGTTGAGCGGCTTTAATTTAATTTATGCAGTAGCTTTAAAGATTTGAACATTTTGAATGACAATATACCGATTTTTGGTTGTATGGAATACAATATATGATAAATTTAGACAGGTTGCGATATCATTATATGATATATAACGCAAACAAAATACACTCCCATCGACTGCATACCTGCATACCTGCATTTGCCTGTGTTGTTATAATGGAGATGCGAGTGTGGTCACATTGTATCGATTTACTTTCTGGTTGCTGTATAGGATGATAGCATGTGCATGCACCAGCGATTCAAATTGGATTACTGCATTGGCTAAATTGCCACCTAGCAAATAAATGAAGCATTCTTTTAGGCGCGACAAAAAAGAAAGAGAAAATTAGTCGAATTCAGAAAAGGATTTTCGCAATTTTCGTTGCTTTATTCGAATCGGCAGGCCAAGGACATCCGGATATTCACTAAAACGGCAAATTTACCCTCTTAAGTAATTTGTATCTCATTTATGTTACGAATCCGATCAGATCAGATTTGAATGCATCTGTAAGTCTATAATAAGTATAAGAAGTATCTGTAAGATACAGAAAAAATCTGTAGAATGCAGAACGTCTCTGTAATATTGAAGAGTATCAGTAAGATACAAGAGTATGTGAGATTCACAAGAGTCCGTAAGATGCACAAGTATTAGTAGGAATCAAAAGTATCTGCAGGAAACAAAAAGTATTTGTAAGATACAAATGTATCTGTTTCAATGGGTTACGTCAATCCATACAGCTCATGTTTGTGGCAGTTAGTAATCGAAATCGAAACTAAATTTAAACTTAAAGTTCTTATTTTTATTTGGTAGCTGTTTTATTTAAAGGTTTATACACATTACATATATAGTATATATACAACATGAACTTGTAAAATTAGGTACTAGAGTTGTGATTTTTTGTTTAACATATGTATATTATGTTTATAATTATAGCTATTAAGTACTATTACTTTTCGTCACGCACAAAATTTCCAAACCTTTGGAATAAATTAAACGACTAAAATGTACACATTATGAAACAAAAAAAAAATAATTAAGAAGAAAAGATAGAGGCAAATACAAGTCTGTGGAATGCGAAATGAATTAATAAAAATCGACTAAGCAGAGATGGAGTTAGTTAAAGATAGAGATAGAGACAGAGATAGATATATATGTATATATATATATGGGTATGTATGTATGAACAATCGATGCTATAAATATGTGGACAATTGGGAATGTGCTAAACGAAGGGAATAGATAAGTTTCCAATAGAATATTAGGTATATATATATATTTATATATATATATATATATATATATATATATATATATATGCATGAGTGGGGTATGTTTGAATGGGAAAGGTTGTCTATATGGTATATGTTTTTATATAGTATGTACTCGTTTATAGTATAGTATAACGCATAAATAGAGTGATGGGACGCCGGCTTAGGCGATACGTTTTTTTCGACTAGGTGACAAGATTTTCAGCATTGTGACCACCGGCGCCTCGAAGGACATCGAGACGACAAAGGACAGGAAATAGGAGGCGACCGATAGACCAAAGAACATGACGACCTGTAAATACAGAAGAACATCAGAATTATAATCCAAAAAGAGAGACAGAGAGAGAGAGAGTTTTGAAGTTACCATCAAATCGCCGCCAAGGTGCAGTGGCGCATCCGAGTTGAGGGCCATCGAGCGTATGACGATGGGATGCACCAGATAGGCACAGTAGGTGACACGGGAGAAGGGATAGAGAAAGGGGGCGGAGAGCAACGAATTGATATAGCCGCCATAGCCCGTCGAGCAGGCGATGGTGATCCATGCCAGGGATAGCGCCCACGCCGAATGACTCAGCGAACTGTAAGCGGCGGCCATAAACTGAGAGAGATCCGTCCGATACAGCCCAAAGACCAGGACGAACAGATTCAGCATGGCCAGAGTCCAGGCAGTGGCCACAGTCAGCTTAGGCAAACGGATTTTACAATTGGTGCGGAACAGTATCCAGCCGACGGCCATGCCAATTAGATATGGGCCCAGTCTGGTCCAGGGCTTATCGTAGATCTTGTCGAAAAGGGCGAGGGGGTCATCGGTGTTGGGTCGATGGTTGTTCGTAAAGGCAATCACTGCCGTCGTTATCCACGACAGCACCAGAAACACCAGAGTCGTTATCGCAGACAGTTTGAAGTGGCGCACGCCCACAATCAGAATAATTGCGCCGATCATATAGAATTGTGTATCATTAGCCAGATACCAGCTCCACAACATGCACTGCAGAGAGAGAGAGAGAGAGAGAGAGAGAGAGAGAGAGAGAGAGAGAGAAGGTTTGATTAATTGAGAAATGTGTCCAGCATCTGTGATAATTTCTTATTAGCTCAGCTAGATTTTCTGATCTGATCAGAATTGTAAGTTGACTTATATGTATATATATATTATGGATAAGTGAGCATCTTACCATCTCATCAACTGGAAACAGGGTGTTGATGTAGAGTATGTTGCGCCACCAGTAATCCGGGCAGGTGATGTGATCCATTGTGGGCGGATCGAATATAGAGTAGGCAGCCAGATAGCGCATTGTCACCTGAACGACGCCAAGGACGAACAGATAGGGGGCGGTGAGGCGCATAAACCGATAGGCGACCAGTCCAAAAAAGTGAGCGGTACCAGCTGTAAACTCATTGGCGCCCTTGCTCAGCTTGTTCAGATTTCCCTTCGCATTCGTGCGGAAGTACAGATACGAGATGAGGAAGCCGGAGATGAAGAAGAACGTGTCGACACTGAATGGCCCATTGGTGATCGCCTGAAAGAAGAAGTTCTGCTCGACCTCCTTGCGCATCTCCATGTTGTCGGAGTACTTGAACACCACAATGCACGTATGCCCCAAGATGACCCAAGCCATGCTGAAGGCGCGCAGTCCATGAATGCAGGGTATCGTGTCGGCGCCCACATTTCGATCACAGATCGCATTGAAGTTCGTGATGGCCGAGAAGGATAATAGCAGTTCCGAGTAGATGCTCAGTTTCTCCGGCTCATGCAGATGACCCTCCAAGTGCTCATCGGAGTTGCTGTTGTTCTTGTTGTTATTTTTGGTGATGCTGCCGCTGCTGCTGCCGCTGGCACTAACGCTCTGCAGTTGCGTCATCCGCTCATGGTCATGATGATGCGCCAGCTCCAGCTCGTGATCATGATCATGATCGTGATGATGATGATGATGATGATGATCCTCCAGCTCCAGCTCGTGATGATGATGCAGAGCCAGACCATTGCCGCTATCATTGTCAGCATTGGGTGGCAGATTGAGCACCAGCTGATCGAGCTGTTTCAGCGAATCCGATTGACCCGACTGCTTTAGGGCCTCATCGTGGGCGGTCATCGTGTCACTGTAGTCGGAGGAGGCACACCCAATGCCCGAGCTCGTCTCACTGTTGTTCATCATCTCCTTGTCCTGCAGACGCAGTGCCTCCTGCAGCTGGCGTGTCAAATAGATCTCGTAGAGGGTGCCGCAGCAAATCAAACCCAGCACAATGCAAGAGACAACACTAAAGACGACACAGAATACACATAGAGAAAGAGAGAGCAAGAGAGGGAGAGAGAGAGAGAGAGAGAGAGAAAAGAGAGGGTAGAGGAGATCGGTAGAGCTTTGTTAATTAGCTACACAAATAAGAAAATAAATAAAAAAAAAAGGGAGGGTCTGGTTGGCACCCGAATGGATAGTTTCGCTTTTTATGTATATACATATTTGGGGGCCGCTAATGCTTAAAGCCAAGTTAAAAACTCACACTGTGTTTGTGCTCAGCATTAGCGCCATTTATTTTTGAAAGTGAGTTTTGTTTGGCTATCGAAATAGTGATTGAAGCGATTGCATTACTTACAGCAACAAGCAGAAGGTCTTGTCTGACCAAATGTTAAACTCCTTGTCCGTCGGCACCCGTATGTCCAGAACCCTCAGCTCCCGACTGGGTAAATCCCTACGAGCATAGCCACTCATCTGATGCACGTCGGCAATGCTGCAACTCGATGGCAGACACATGCCCATATAAAGGGTGCGCAGCTACGAGAGAGAAAGACACGTTAACAATTGATATTATAACAAATATATAAATCTATAGTTCCAATCTTAACAGCCGAGTTGCGACAAGCAAAGTAAACGGAAGAAGATGGTTTAGGATAGAGTTATTGATAAGTTAAGGAGTTGATAAGCAAATACAATTATTTGAGATCAAAAGGGCCGAAGAAGCATTGTTTCTATTAATTACTACAAAAAGGGATCGGATTTGAAGTATTAACATAAGCCCAACAAGATTGATAAGTGATTTGAACACAATTTGCAATAAAGAAGCTTTTCGATTGACATCAATTAGTTGTGTGCTTAGTTACTACTCTGTTAACTTTATTGAATTGATTAATTATCGCTTCGACTGGCGAATAGTTGGATAAGTTCGCTTACCATCTGCGTTGGCATCGTCTCATTCAGCTGCATCTTGAGCACGTAGAACCCGGGCACAAATGGAGGCGGCGCATTGTAGACGCTGCTGTAGGCCTCGGCATAGGCCTCGGCAAAGGGCAGACCGTTGTTGCGATTATCCTTGGTGTCCTTGCTATCACTTTTGTTGCTGCTGGCGGTGCTGGAGTCGCCGGAGAGGGTGCTGCTGCCATCGTAAATAGCATCGCAAAGGGCCAACGAACCCATCCAGTAGTTGTTGCCATAGAAGAAACCGGATGTATAATGGCCGGAAGCATCGTCCACTGAAACGGACAAAAAAGTCAAAGAAAAAAAAATAAGAAAAACAAAATAAAAAATTGTTTAAAGAGAAGGGCATGTTTAATTCATGTAAGCCCGGCTGTGCCAATCCCTACATCGCCTTCTTTCACTTTTGGCTCTCCTTCTTCAATACCCTGTAACCATTCAAATACGTTTATAAATGGTTTTCAACCTGCAGTTTTTCGAAATTTTCTATTATATCGCATCAATGCCTTGTGATATTAATACGAAAATTTTTTAGAAGTTAAATTACAGCGTTGTGTGTAAGTTTTTTCTGCGGCATACAGGGTATCTGCTAGTCGGGCTCACTCCTACTTGTTTACTTATTTTTCTTGGTTTCTTTTTGTTTGGTGTGTGTGAAAAGTTGCTTTTGCTGCTGCGGCGACTGCAGTTTATTATATAATGTTGCTTGCCTCAGTTTCGCCTCCACATCCCCTCCCCCGCACTGCACTCTCCCTGCTTGCAACATGTTGCGCGCACAGCCTGTGGATTTCCAGATTTGTATTTTTTTTTATCATGCGATCTTCCCCTGCATTATTTGCACAGTGATTTTGCTGTTTATTGTTGTTGTTTGATGTTGTTATTGTTTTTCTTTTTTATCTTGTAACCAGTTGGCTGGTTGGCCAGCAACTGTTGTTGCAGTTGTTGTTGCTGTTGTTGTAGTAACCAGTTTGCTGAATTCGTAACTGAAAACATAACAAAATCTGAAGCTGCAACTGTGAGGCAACAACTTGTTGTTGTTGTTTTTGCACACTTTTTGGCATTTCAGTTGACAACTTTTTGGAGTGTTTATTTATTGTACTTCTCCTCTCGTCAAAACCATACGCAACATCTATTTTGAATGTGGGGCGAAGCTGCAAAGGGGCTGCAAAGGGGCTGCAAACGGGCGGTGCTGGCAAATGCTGTGATCGGCCAGTGGGCTGATTGAGTGCGCCAATGGCCATGACCATGAAGTAGTCAGTAGCCTTTTGCCCAGTCTGCAGCAAATGCAGTTTGGGCTTGCTGACGAGCACGAGGAGCGGGGAAAGATTGGGATATAATTTGGCAATAAGCTACACTAAATGCTAAATACAAGGAGAATTACTTAACTTGAGGCAGTGTTAATTGATGAAGCCATATATCACATATCGTTTAAATTAGCCTCCATTTAATAAAATCAATTCTCGGCCAGCTGTTAAAAAATGTGCCAAAAAATCGTTGACCTATTTTTGCTTGCATCAAAAACCTTTTTTCCCTATAACAGCCCCACCCAATCTCCCTCTCCTTGTCTATACCTTTTTAATTTTTGTAATGTGTATATTTTTATTTTTATTACTATTTTTTATTTATTTTTTTTTGCTTTTCAGTTTAATTTGCGATTGAGGTCATTTGATTTCGGCTGGTCGGTGTTGTTGCTTTGGCTTTTATGTAATTGTTAGGCCAGTCTTTTATATAGTTTTTTGGTGGTAACAGCTGAAGACCTCAGCTCGAATCTGTGGTGGGACCTCTAACTAGTCAGATTTCGGTTTTTATTTGTCCATTTGCTTGTTTGTTTGTTGATGTTGATGTAGTTGTATTTTTATTTTTTAAATTTATTTTGTTGTATGTCTCATATTCAATTGAACGTGTCATTCAAGCGTTTAACAAAAATGATCAACCGATGAAACAGCAGCAGTGACCAAAAAACAGACTCCAATGCGACAGACACGGACGGGCTCTTCATCAAGGTGATTGCGTACATGACTTAATACCAAAGCGAACTGCCGGAAAATGTCAGCCAGACCCAACCAGGTGGTCTATGGTCTATGGACCACACACTCTTAGGTCTCTTCTTGACTACCGTTTAACCCCAGCTGCAATACACTAAGTAAAACATAAGAAAAACACTTCGGTTTTTTGCCTCATGTACTCGCATGTACTCGCTGCTTTACCCATATCAATTCTTGTCTAGTGACAAGGTCTTTCTTCGCTGCACACTCAAGATCCCAAACAAAACAAAAACCAAAAAAACAAAAACAAAAAAAAAAATGCACAAAAAAAACTTGTCCAATTGGAATGGTAGTTACGGTAGTTAATCAGTGTCCAAGCAGTTAACAGCTGCGAGGTTAATTGAATGTTACTTTGATATATCTATTAATAAAACCTGACTTAAATCATTTTTGAGATAATACCGAAAACTCACAAAATCATGATCATACCACATTTCTTGTATATTAACTGTAAACATAAAGCACATTGATTTAATCACGAACCCCATTTAAATCGCTTAAAAATATATTACTAAGTGCTTAGGTCAATGTTGAATTTGGCTTACAGCGGAAATAGCTGAGTGAAAACGTGATAGTCTAGCAAAAACGAAGTTTCTCAAGTTCAATTTCCCCCAAATTACCACTCACGTAATATACTTAAGTTACTCTATTAATTCATAATATATTAAATCTTGTAAAAGTTATCATTCACTTTGTTGCAAGTAATAAACAAATATTAATTTGAATTTATTCCTGCAAAGAAAAACTATTGAAAGTCAACTCTAAATGGAATATTTAAATTCAATTTTAGCCATGCAGTCACAATAAAATAGACAAGTACAAGCGTTTATAAGTTTCGAAAATGTATAATTTATATTTGGCATTCATGCTTCAGCATATCAACTGGAAGTGATGTTTGTTAACAATTTAAAGAATATGATTTTGTTGATAAACAATTAGAAATAAACAAATCCAAGAGTTGTTCACAACTTTGCTGACAATAATTTCTGTTTTTAGTGAACAGCTAAGCGGACAGCGCCTGGCGACCATCTAATACCCTATCTGACCTGACCACACAGCAAGTGTGGCATATTTGGTGGCATATATAACATGCTCACACCTTGAGAGAGTAAAAGAAGACTCGTGTTGAATATGTGGCTAAATAATTGTCGCCCAACTGAGAATCAGTATTGTCTATAGGAAGCTAAACATGCATTAGGCGTCAGGTTTCATAGCTGTCAGCTACTTGTTATGCTCAATTATTGGGTATTTCTCTTTCTCTTCTTCTGCTGGCTGCTTTTTTTTTATTTTATTTTATTTTTTCTCAGTGCTATTTGGCTGTCAATGAAATCGCCAATTGAAAACAATCAGCAACTTGTCATAATTAGGAGGAAGAAGGGGCGGGGGAGGAGTTGGGGGTAAGAGGGCGCATAGGAGAAGGCGTTTGGGCAAGACTTGGAGGTTAAGGCAGAGTCTGTGGAGGTTGGAGAGAAAAAAAATCCAAGAAAAAAATTGTTATCGCATTGGGGTTTATCTGAATCGGGTCGACGGCGCCTGCGCAACAAAGGTGTTAACACTAAAACCGATTACAGCACAAACCGACAGCAATAACTACAACAACAACAACAACAGCAACAAAGGATGGGGGGAAGAGTATGTACCACGCCCCGAGGGCGCAATAAAATGACAGCGACAAAAAAAAAAAATGAGCTGTTGAAATTTTTGGTGTGTTTGATTGATGAAACGTTGTACAAAAAAATAATAATAAATAATGTGCTTAACACACGAACAGCAACAACAACAGCAACAACAGCAACAACAACAATAGCAACCACAACCGAAATAACAGCAACAAATAAGTAGTTGTATAGTCGTCTGACACTTATTATTATTACTATTATTATAAAACTGCCGCCCATTGCGAAAGGTTTGCAAAAAAAAAGTTACAAAAATGAAACAAAAACAAAAAAAAAGAGAAAAAAATGCAAAACAATAAAAAAATAAAAACGTTTTGTGTTCATTTCTTGTTATATTTTTTTATTTGCTACGCGTCTCAAATTTAAAGCATGTAATTAATGCAACAACAAACGTGCGTCAGAACCATTTGCAGTCCCATAAACAAATATGATTATTGTTATTTTGTTTATGTTTTATTTTTTATGTTTTGAAATCGCATTTGCAATCGTTTTCCCGAGCAATTAATACATTTTTTTTGCATGCCCAAAAACTGCTCAGCTGACGTATTTCAGTTTTTGAATTTGATTAATGGTTTTTACGTGGGATTTGTCTTTTAGACGGGATACGATCCAGCCAATCCAAAAATTATAATGCTTATGCCAAAGAAGCCAAAGAACTTTTCCGATTTTTGCCACTTGCGGTGTCAAATTTATTAAAGTCAATACAAATACTAAGCAAATCTCTAATCGATTGTCAACCAAATGATGGGACAATATCAATACGATGCCTATGTTCCAGCAAAACTGTCAAACTGTCCGACTTAGTCAATAAATAAGTGTGAAAAGATCTTTGTACACAATATTGTAATTCGTAAGGCTCAAGACCTAAGTAAATAGTCAAGAAATTCTGTTGGTTCTTAACAATTCCGAACAGAATTGTGTAAATTTGAGAAAAAAATTTCGATGGAATTTCGAAAAATGTTGTCAGAAGAGTACTTGGTAATCATATTTAATTATTTGAAGATTTCTCCAGATATATAATCAATATAATTAAGTTTCTCAAAAACTACTCAACGAATCTGTAAAAGTTTTTGTACTGATATATCTTTTAGCCTAGCAGCCAATAAGTATCCAAGTATCTAAGTATTTTGTAAATGTTTAATGTAGCCTACGGCCAACGCCCTGGAAAACTCAACTTGAGCTCAATATCATTGGTAAATATATTCAGAATTATCTTATAGACGCAGTATCATGTAGATAATCATGATTGTGGATTTTCAGTGTTAAATGCGTTCCAAGCGATCTTTTGGCTAAGATCGCGATGTATATAACTAAACAGATATATTAGTTCCATTCGATTGGTTAGCTACGAATGTTGATTATCTTTAGAAACAGGCTGTATATATAGATAAATGGTCTGCTGAATGTTCGTATTTTTTAAATTTCATATTCTTGTTATTGTCCAGATCTCTCTGATTGTCTGTATAAACAAATTCAATAGCAAAATATCGCTGTGCCAGCAGGTAAACGGTTTCAAGACTTCTGTCCAAGCACTTGAGCAACTGAGATCATATAAACAAT